TGCTGTGAAAACCAGCAGGGGGAGCAGTTTAATATCAGGATTAACGTCTAAAGGTAAAAGTAAAGTTTAGGATCATTAACATTTCCACACAGCCTGTTGCTTGTTTTGTGATTTCATGGAAGCAAAATATTTTTCAATTCACTTTGCAGAGTTGCGACCCTTAGGCCTACCATGATCCTACGAGGAGCACCTTTAGAATACAGTACCACAACACGACAAATTACGCCACAGGGTATTGTCACGTGTTTGAAAAGTTTGTGGAACTGTATTCTAAAGATGTTCTTAAAATAAAATGGCCTGATCAGCCGATCTACACAAAATATAATTTCGAGAAACACAGTCCGCGGCTGGCGCAACTCCTAAGATGACTGACCATATAGCATTGCTATAAATGTTTCATGGCCGCGAGGATACTGAGTCTGAAAAGTTAGCAGCAAACCGGAGTTTGATGTGCTCTGAGACGCCCAAAGAGAACTGGGTAGCCATCATGCCCCATGCACATATGTGTTTGTTCGTGAGTGCGTGCGTGCGTGCGTGCGTGCGTGCGTGCGTGTGTGCTAACTCCGAACCGAGTCCTTGTTTTTCGGATGCTCTACCACTAGACCAAGGAGGTGGTTTTGTGTAGTAGAATATCATAATTATTATGCAAAAAAATCTGCAAATTATTGAATACTGTAAGGGTTATTCTCGCGATCTCGCATTCTCGCGATGCGATCTCGACCTTTATAAACGAGCTAAATATGCCCAAAATACGAGATCGCGAGAACGCGAAATTTGGCCAATCGCGATCTCGCATTCTCGTGTTTTTTGGTACATAGCGCGTTTGGTCAAAAGTCGACAACGCCAGATTGAAAATTGCACTGAAAGACTTGCTATTTGACCGCTGTAAACTGATCACTTTTTCACCTTACTACGAGCTGACGTTTGGAGATTGATATGGTGTTGACATGTTGTCCTTTAGAGCTTCATATGATCAATGTAAAGTAGTACAATGAAATTAAAGATTCGTTTTATTATTTGCTATGTTCAACACTAAAAAATCAACAGTGTTGTTTCATGAAAACATTGTAGACACAAAGCATTATGGCTGCATAAAGTAGATTCGGAACGAAATTTCACCGCCAGGTCCCCGTTTCACAAAGCAATCTGCCTGTGTCTACAGTGAAGTGTAGGAGTCCCAGCATTACACTAGCATCCTGTCTCTACAGTGTGCACGGGAACGCCTCCCTGGCATTGTGGATCGAAGACCAATTGGGTCCCGTATGGAATTTCACAGTTTGGAGGCTTGACTGCATTTAAGGCGATACTAGAGTAGAATACCATCGAGAAGAAACATGACTGTAATTACGGCTGATTTGCTCATCTGACCCGAAGTTTGGCAGTATACCACACCTTTGTAGCCTTTAGAATGAGTAAGGTGGGGTTGACGCCACTTTGAACAGTATTTCAGTTATATCACGACGTGTCTGTTTAATATTTAATGTCCAGGGTGATTCGGGTATATAGGGTTGTATGCTGTGGTGAAACCCACCAGCACGGTGCTGACAAACATGATGAGGGCGAATGGGATTCGAACCTGTGATCGTTAGATTCTGGCACGACATTAGAAAGTATTAGTTGACGTCGACATATATAAGTTATGCGTATCTACTGCACTACATAGTATGCTTGATTAATACAGGGGAGGCGAGGTGAAGTAGTGCTTACATAGCGACGTGCATGTATGTGTGTGTGCGTGTGTGGCTGCTTGTACTAGTCCGAATGTGCTAGCCCACTGAGATACCATGCCTCGGTTCAACAAAATACTCCACTCAGACACAGTATACTGACTCCGAGCCGACCAGTCCTTGTTTAATCACCTTAATGACTAGCGCCATTGAATATTTCAGCAACACTATGTAGCGTGCAAGAATATTACAGCAACACTATGTAGCGTGCAAGAATATTACAGCAACACTATGTAGCATGCAAGAATATATCAGCAACACTATGTAGCATGCATGAATATTTCAGCAACACTATGTAGCGTGCAAGAATATTTCAGCAACACTATGTAGCGTGCAAGAATATTACAGCAACACTATGTAGCGTGCATGATATTACAGCAACACTATGTAGCATGCATGAATATTACAGCAACACTATGTAGCGTGCAAGAATATAACAGCAACACTATGTAGCGTGCAAGAATATTACAGCAACACTATGTAGCGTGCATGAATATTACAGCAACACTATGTAGCGTGCATGAATATCACAGCAACACTGTGTAGCATGCATGAATATTACAGCAACACTATATAGTATGCAAGAATATTACAGCAACACTATGTAACGTGCAAGAATATTACAGCAACACAATGTAGTATGCAAGAATATTACAGCAACACTATATAGTATGCAAGAATATTACAGCAACACTATGTAGAGTGCAAGAATATTACAGCAACACTATGTAGTATGCAAGAATATTACAGCAACACTATGTAGCGTGCATGAATATTACAGCAACACTATGTAGCATGCATGAATATTACAGCAACACTATGTAGCATGCATGAATATTACAGCAACACTTTGTAGCGTGCATGCATATTACAGCAACACTATGTAGCGTGCATGAATATTACAGCAACACTATGTAGCGTGCATGAATATTACAGAAACACTATGTAGCATGCATGAATATTAGCCCCGGGTTCGATTCCAAACATTGGTGCACTGCGTGAAGACCATTTCTGATGTCCCCCGCTGTGATGTTGCTGGAATATTGCTAAAAGCGGCTTAAAATCCAAATCACTCACTCGCTCACTGACTAGAATGCATGAATATTACAGCGACACTACATTTTCTGAATTTGTCCTTTGTATTGCTGATGGCCGTCAAGATTGTACCCTGTTTCATAAATGTATGCAATAAATGCATGTTAAAGAATTAGATTAGATCACGTAAAGCAGAGGACATTTACAGACTAGTGGTCTCCATCTATCAAGTCCGAGTCGTTGATAGTGATAACAGCCACAGAGCAAATGAGATTTATATCATCGGTGTTGTTGACCAATTGTGACCATGTATGACATTACTTACATTGACGTACATCCATAGCAGCATGGAATGCCTAATAACATTGTGGCTCTATTATTATGCTAATTGGATATGTACAGATGTGTAGTAATCAATTGCTGGTTATGGTGCATAGCTTTAATTTCTAATATAAAATCAACCTGAAGAAAACGTGATGCGTCAGCTGCCAACTGTGAGCGCATGTTGATGCTTGCTGTGGGACTCACAATGATGACTCTTGGACATTCAGGGGAGGGACATTGTCAATGTAGCTTTGTACATTTCATAAAGAAACAGTTACAGTTAAAGAATCCAATGCTAATTTTATTAGCGTGCAGTCTACAATACTCCTGATTGCTTGGTGCATGCAGAGTGCAGTCTACAATACTCGTTATTGCTTGGTACATGCAGCGTGCAGTCTGCAATAATCCTGATTGCTTGGTACATGCAGCGTGCAGTCTACGATATTCCTGATTGCTTGGTGCATGCAGAGTGCAGTCTACAATACTCGTGATTGCTTGGTGCATGCAGAGTGCAGTCTGCAATAATCCTGATTGCTTGGTGCATGCAGAGTGCAGTCTACAATACTCGTGATTGCTTGGTACATGCAGCGTGCAGTCAACAATACTCCTGATTGCGTGGTGCATGCAGCGTGCAGTCCACATTACTCCTGATTGCTTGGTGCATGCAGCGTTTAGTCTGTAGTACACACCTACCCGGGCGGATCAAGGGGGGATCAAGGGTGTTGCGGGGAGGCGTTGAAGCCCCTACCCCCTTTGAAAATATCACATGATATTATATGCAGTATGTTGGTCACATGCCGCTTTCCCGTCTTTCAAGTGTACCGTTGTCTCGCATTATCATTGAAGTGCGCTCAATGTAGAATTTTCCACTTAAAAAATATTTATAAACACGAAAATGGGATGTTCGACTGAATTTATTTTAATCATTGAAGTTTAATTATGTTGTTGTCCTTGAATCTCCAGCATGAATGCTTACATTGGCATCAAGTTAAACGCCATTAGTTCAGTCTTGATTGTCTTCCGACGACGCATGTACATACTGGTTAGTATAGTATTACTTAATTGTGCGATAAACGACGACTACGGGCTTTACTTTTTATAAGAAATAACAACATTATGTTCAGTCACTTTAGGGATGTTAATAAAAAGCTTTAAAAATATTTACCCATATTTAAATAATGATGACTCCGTGAATAAAATTCGACCTCGGCAATGTTGGACTCGTCCTTTGTTGTGAACTTGGGAGTTAAGTTTGGTATTTCCTGAATATTCTCACAATCCTCAGGCGATTATCTAAACCTTTTCTCCCAGTACCGATTGCCATATATCGCCTTATCTTGGATGCAGCCGTCCGGCCTATGCATTCATCTGCGTTGCCCAACTCCATCTTTGGGGGAACAACTCACTTGTAGAGAATGGGTTGGTGACATGGCAATCACGTGTACAGAGGGAATGGGCTGAATACACGGTCATAACACATGTACTTGATATACTGGACTTGCGTCTCCTGGACTTCAGTAAGAGTTAAACACTGAGTGTTGCATTTACATTTACAGTTAGAGAATTCATATTTCTATCAGGTTAAATAAAAAACGTTTTGACAACAACATTTATCTTAAATGAAATATAAATTCCCTACAGTTCGAGGGGACTGTATTATGTACATGCTGTAACTTCTTTCTGTGAATGTAAGTGAAGAAGACGCGTTGCTCCAGTTCTGGGGTTGTTGTCAGGACACAACAACCGACTGTTGTCTCTACTAATGCAAAACACATATGCGTGTCATTCCGTGCTACGCTTGCATATCACAAGTGAGTTTCCACTGCAGCGACATTTCTGTGGCTATGTCGGCGCTGGCTGCCCCGCCGTGTGGGGAGCATGCAAACCTTCACACGGTGAGTGTCGGGGGGACATGGCACACTTTGACAGATGCATGTCGGCTAGTTGGGAACTATCATACACTCACACCAAACATGCATACCCTACAAGACCCACTGTCTTGTGGCGTGCAGCCGCAGCTCTTCATGACATGTATTATGTATTTTTACACATGGATGTGCAATGGTGGATATCAAAGGTGAAGGACAAGTGGAAACTTCCCATTTTGCTCTACATAATAGGTATTTCTAATTTCAGCTTATTGTAAGTATGCACAATGCCTTGTGTACATTGTTTGAGAATAACCTGACCCAACCATATTTACGTTTTTGAAGGTAAGGTAATTGTTTTAGTTTGAAATATCTGTTGTGTAACTGTCTAGTTGTTGGAGCTTCTTAAGTGACTGACTATAATGACCGGTTTGTTCTGCGAGCAAATATAAGTCACAAGAACATTGTAATCTGATAACCCACAAGTGTGCGTTCACAAAACCTTTTTACTACGCTACATTCATGGGTCGGAAGCGGTGTAGGTAATGTACAACTTAATGTTATGCCAGACGCAAGTCCATTGCTGCCCCTACGAACTCCAGGCATTGCTGTTTTTTCAGTGAAATCCACACATTTTTAGTTTGGTAAATTGGAGTTTTTGTTGAAAAATATATATACAGTTTAACAGACGTTGTAAGTATGCCTGTCTAACCACCCGACAGCCTGTATGCGATCTGTCTGACCGCCCGACAACCTGTATGCGATCTGTCTAACCGCCCGACAACCTGTATGCGATCTGTCTAACCGCCCGACAACCTGTATGCGATCTGTCTAACCGCTCGACCACCTGTATGCGATCTGTCTAACCGCTCGACCACCTGTATATGCTATCTGTCTAACCGCTCGACCACCTGTATGCGATCTGTCTGACCGCTCGACCACCTGTATGCTATCTGTCTAACCGCTCGACAACCTGTATATGCTATCTGTCTAACCGCTCGACCACCTGTATGCGATCTGTCTAACCGCCCGACAACCTGTATATGCGATCTGTCTAACCGCTCGACCACCTGTATGCGATCTGTCTAACCGCTCGACCACCTGTATATGCAATCTGTCTAACCGCTCGACCACCTGTATGCGATCTGTCTAACCGCTCGACCACCTGTATGCTATCTGTCTAACCACTCGACCACCTGTATGCGATCTGTCTAACCGCTCGACCACCTGTATGCGATCTGTCTGACCGCTCGACCACCTGTATATGCGATCTGTCTAACCGCCCGACAGCCTGTACGCGATCTGTCTAACCGCCCGACAGCCTGTACGCGATCTGTCTAACCGCCCGACCACCTGTATGCGATCTGTCTAACCGCCCGACCACCTGTATGCGATCTGTCTAACCGCTCGACCACCTGTATGCGATCTGTCTGACCGCTCGACCACCTGTATGCGATCTGTCTGACCGCTCGACCACCTGTATGCGATCTGTCTGACCGCTCGACCACCTGTATGCGATCTGTCTGACCGCTCGACCACCTGTATGCGATCTGTCTAACCGCCCGACAACCTGTATGCGATCTGTCTAACCGCTCGACCACCTGTATGCGATCTGTCTAACCGCCCGACCACCTGTATGCGATCTGTCTAACCGCCCGACCACCTGTATGCGATCTGTCTAACCGCCCGACCACCTGTATCCGATCTGTCTAACCGCCCGACAGCCTGTACGCGATCTGTCTAACCGCCCGACCACCTGTATGCGATCTGTCTAACCGCCCGACCACCTGTATGCGATCTGTCTAACCGCCCGACCACCTGTATGCGATCTGTCTAACCGCCCGACCACCTGTATGCGATCTGTCTAACCGCTCGACCACCTGTATATGCAATCTGTCTAACCGCTCGACCACCTGTATGCGATCTGTCTAACCGCTCGACCACCTGTATGCTATCTGTCTAACCACTCGACCACCTGTATGCGATCTGTCTAACCGCTCGACCACCTGTATGCGATCTGTCTGACCGCTCGACCACCTGTATATGCGATCTGTCTAACCGCCCGACAGCCTGTACGCGATCTGTCTAACCGCCCGACAGCCTGTACGCGATCTGTCTAACCGCCCGACCACCTGTATGCGATCTGTCTAACCGCCCGACCACCTGTATGCGATCTGTCTAACCGCTCGACCACCTGTATGCGATCTGTCTGACCGCTCGACCACCTGTATGCGATCTGTCTGACCGCTCGACCACCTGTATGCGATCTGTCTGACCGCTCGACCACCTGTATGCGATCTGTCTAACCGCCCGACAACCTGTATGCGATCTGTCTAACCGCTCGACCACCTGTATGCGATCTGTCTAACCGCCCGACCACCTGTATGCGATCTGTCTAACCGCCCGACCACCTGTATGCGATCTGTCTAACCGCCCGACCACCTGTATCCGATCTGTCTAACCGCCCGACAGCCTGTACGCGATCTGTCAAACCGCCCGACCACCTGTATGCGATCTGTCTAACCGCCCGACCACCTGTATGCGATCTGTCTAACCGCCCGACCACCTGTATGCGATCTGTCTAACCGCCCGACCACCTGTATGCGATCTGTCTGACCGCTCGACCACCTGTATGCGATCTGTCTAACCGCCCGACAACCTGTATGCGATCTGTCTAACCGCCCGACAGCCTGTATGCCGTCTGTCCAATCGCCCGACAACCTGTATGCGATCTGTCTAACCGCCCGACCACCTGTATGCGATCTGTCTAACCGCCCGACAACCTGTATGCGATCTGTCCAACCGCCCGACCACCTGTATGCGATCTGTCTAACCGCTCGACCACCTGTATGCGATCTGTCTAACCGCTCGACAACCTGTATGCGATCTGTCCAACCGCCCGACCACCTGTATGCGATCTGTCTAACCGCTCGACAACCTGTATGCGATCTGTCTAACCGCCCGACCACCTGTATGCGATCTGTCTAACCGCTCGACCACCTGTATGCGATCTGTCTAACCGCTCGACAACCTGTATGCGATCTGTCTAACCGCCCGACCACCTGTATGCGATCTGTCTAACCGCTCGACCACCTGTATGCGATCTGTCTAACCGCTCGACCACCTGTATGCGATCTGTCTAACCGCTCGACCACCTGTATGCGATCTGTCTAACCGCCCGACAACCTGTATGCGATCTGTCTAACCGCCCGACAGCCTGTATGCGAATTGTCTAACCGCCCGACAGCCTGTATGCGATCTGTCTAACCGCCCGACAACCTATATGCGATCTGTCTCACCGCCTGACCACCTGTATGCGATCTGTCTAACCGCTCGACCACCTGTGTGCGATCTGTCTAACCGCTCGACCACCTGTATGCGATCTGTCTAACCGCCCGACCACCTGTATGCGATCTGTCTAACCGCTCGACAACCTGTATGCGATCTATCTAACCGCCCGACCACCTGTATGCGATCTGTCTAACCGCCCGACAGCCTGTATGCCGTCTGTCCAATCGCCCGACAACCCGTATTCGATCTGTCTAACCGCCCGACAGCCTGTATGCCGTCTGTCCAATCGCCCGACAACCTGTATGCGATCTGTCTAACCGCCCGACAGCCTGTATGCGATCTGTCTCACCGCCCGACAACCTGTATGCGATCTGTCTTACCACCTGACCAGTTGTATGCGATCTGTCCAACCGCCCGACAACCTGTATGCGATCTGTCTAACCACCCGACAACATGTATGCGATCTGTCTAACCGCCCGACAACCTGTATGCGATCTGTCTAACCGCCCGACAGCCTGTATGCGAATTGTCTAACCGCCCGACCACCTGTATGCGATCTGTCTCACCGCCCGACAACCTATATGCGATCTGTCTCACCGCCCGACAACCTGTATGAAGCTTGTCAACAGAATGTATGACGCCATGTGTACTGGTACTATCGCTGACAACGAAGCTCATCAACAGAATGGAGCCAATGCACCATGTATGACGTCACATGTACTGGTACTATCGCTGGCAATGAAGCTTATCAACAGAATGGAGCCAATGCACCATGTATGACGTCATGTGTACTGGTGCTATCGCTGGCAATGAAGCTTATCAATAGAATGGAGCCAATGCACCATGTATGACGTCATGTGTACTGGTGCTATCGCTGGCAATGAAGCTTATCAACAGAATGGAGCCAATGCACCATGTATGACGTCATGTGTACTTGGAATATCGCTGGCAATGAAGCTTATCAAAAGAATGATTCAACATAATTGAGCCTATGCACCATGTATGACGTCATGCGTACTGGGAATTTTGCTGAGAATGAAGCTTATCAACAGAATGGAGCCAATGCACCATGTATGACGTCACATGTACTCGTACTATCGCTGGCAATGAAGCTTATCAACAGAATGGAGCCAATGCACCATGTATGACGTCACATGTACTGGTACTATCGCTGGCAATGAAGCTTATCAACAGAATGGAGCCAATGCACCATGTATGACGTCATGTGTACTTGGAATATCGCTGGCAATGAAGCTTATCAAAAGAATGATTCAACATAATTGAGCCTATGCACCATGTATGACGTCATGCGTACTGGGAATATTGCTGAGAATGAAGCTTATCAACAGAATGGAGCCAATGCACCATGTATGACGTCATATGTACTGGGAATATCGCTGACAACGAAGCTTATGTTTCAGTTATTAATTTTGTCAAACTCACCTCAAAACAGATTTGACAGTCTGGCTCACCGATGATTTACTGAAGAGGAGTTGACAGACTAACTTAGGATCAGTGTATGCAATGAAACGTTGATGACTCAGAAAGGCTATGGCTGCATTATGCTGATACCTGTAATATGATATTAATTGTAGTGAACGCATCACTGTGTTATTGATAGTCACTGTGTTGTAGAATTATATTTCAAATTTAATTGATGGTTGGTTTTATATTGTGACATTGTGCAATGGCAAAGTCTCGATAATAAGAACGGATGCAGGACACAAATGTTGGCAAACTCCCATCTTTACTGTATGACAGCAGCTGATGTTTATAACCTGTCAATTAGATAAAAACATCAGATTTCAACCAAAAGAATGGGTGTCAGTGGCTCCTTGCCAAATGCCCTGCTTAACAGACTGACTCAACAACTGATACATAATCTTAATTGTGTACCAATAGTAAAATAATAAGTCAAGACAATGCTAAACATTTCACGACCTTCTCTTCAAAGGTAATACATTTAATAGATAAACCTATTGTGTTTCAAAATGTGATGTAGTCCCACTGTAGAGTAGATACCTCTTATTTTAATTTGGAACCGAGCGCTTCAGCTAGTTAGTTAGTTAGCAATTACCCCCAGTAAATAATAAAAATCAAATTTAACGCCTCTCCACCCCGAACTTGGATGGGGCAGACTTGGACCTCCATCACCGTTACTCACACTTCAAACCTGTCAATATGGCTGCCAATGTTTACATTTTTCGTGCATCAACAGACAGGTTACGAAGCAAGATGACAACACCGGTCTATGATGTGCTTCAACACTAACCTGTAGATGTTGAAGGGAATGAGCCTGCTGGTACAATGTGATTACCAATGGAACTGGAGTATGACTGAACAGCCGCTGTTTAGGCTACAGACAAGACGCTTTTACGGCTGCAGACAAGCCGGCTAATTTGAAACGAGGAATCTGCATGATTTGACCTGTCAATTTGAAGTTTTCACGGATTCGCGCCAGCGTATGATTGAACATCGTGGTGACTATTGTGGCAGAAACTGTTGTTCGTGTATGATTTTCTTAATTGTGCGTGTTCTGAAATGAATCTCATCAAGTTTGCTAAGTTGCTATGATCAAGTGTGCTTTGACTTCAGTGACGTCGGGACATTGTTTTCGCCTTTCGAAGGGAGCTAGAGAATCTGGGAGTGTTTTCAGATGAACTTTAAAATCCTCTCGTGTCAAATCTTTGCGACACCTTGAGTGCGGAACGCGCACGCACACACACACACACACACACACACACACACACACACACACACACACACACACACACACACACACACACACACTCATCCGAATACCCTGGCTGACACGGAGATTGGAGAATGCACTCTGGAGCCTATCAGGGCACGTTGATCTTGTCTGTCTGTATTACTACGCCACATACATCTACACGCAAGACAGACATTTGGATAATTACTCATCAAAGGATACCATGTACTCTATGAACAGTTCAACTCTCCATCTACAGTGTATGCCGTTAGGATATATTTATACGTACTTCTATACGTAAATAACACATCTCATTTGGAGGAGTTTACTCGTATCGAAACGTGTATTTTATGACACGAATAAATTTAGAAAGTGAAATTTGATGCATGAAGCGGACATTTACTGTGTTGTGTTAATGTTGGTTGAATGATAGATGCATTGTGTCTCACTGTCAACTACGTGCATAGAATTTCTAACTGTAAATCAAGATATATTTACATGAACGTATGATAATAGAACCCTCATATTTCCTTTATGAAAAAGCCTAAAGATCGAGTGCATTTAACATGATTAGAAACGCCTCTAGGTTTCAAGAGGCTTTGTGGATTATATGAAATATTCGTACATATTCATCCAGGTCAGAGATATAGTTGCAAGACAGATGATACACGTTTATACATGTATTACATTGAAGTAGTAAATCACCTAGCTGTGATAGTTTCAGGCCATATCACGACGAGCCAGCTGGCGTGATTCACCAAGCAGTTTTACCGCAAGCTTGAACCATATGTCAAGGACGCTGGAGGTAATATAAGTTTGATTGTAGTCAGTGTTAACAAGTGGTTTTCATTGAGTCGTGTTAACACTGTGTGTAGTTGCAAAACATTATGTTTCTGTGTATTGGCTAACAGTGTAATACGCATTAAACAAAATATTTCCCTTTCGAGAGGAAGATACAATGCAGTTATCTCGCTTTTGTAAGAAGCGTTTATCTTGTATGTTTTTCTGTATCCGTATATTGCTGCATCGTAATATACGTAGCCAGATTCATCTTGTCTGTATATTGTTGTATCGTAATATTCGTAACAAGATTCATCTTGTCTGTTTATCGCTGTATCATAATATACGTAGCCAGATTCGTCTTGTCTGTATATTGCTGTATCGTAGTATACGTAGCAAGATTCATCTCATCTGTACATTTCTGTATCGTAATATTCGTAGCCAGATTCATCTTGTCTGTATATTGCTGCATCGTAATATACGTAGCCAGATTCATCTTGTCTGTATATTGCTGCATCGTAATATTCGTCCCAGATTCATCTTGTCTGTATATTGCTGCATCGTAATATAAGTAGCCAGATTCATTCTGTCTGTATATCATTGTAATCGTAATATTCGTAGCCAGGTTCATCTTATTATAGTTGGTTTAACTAAACAATGTAAGTGATGTTTCAGCGTAATAGGATTTGGATATCTTTATTTCAGACAGAGAACATGAGTCCTACTCTTGTCCTCATCATTTGCTCCTGTGTTGTCCATGCTGCACATGCTGCAGACATATGCAGTGATGGCAAGTATGGACCATCATGTTTATCCAACTGTGGACAAAACTGCAATGAGTCCAGATGTTTGTCGGAACCCGGAAGTGGAACATTCAGATGTAGTACCGGGTGTATTGATGGCTGGACGGGGCAAATGTGTCACTGGAAGTGTCGTAAAGGATGTATGTCATGTGATCAGGTTACTGGGGAATGCCGGGAAGACTGTGTCGAAAATTGGTGTGGTGCAAACTGTGATTCCTATTGTGGACCTGGAAAAAATGACGGTAAGATGAGTTGTGTTAAACTCCAGGTTGAACGATATTTCAGTAATAACACAGCGTGTTGTAACCCGAAACATAGCAGCTACAAGATATGTTGACACAACCAGTTTCAGCCCGCACATCGTCATTCCCAATAAGCTTTCTGCCGTTTCCCGTTCGTCATAGACGACCTTGGTCCTGACATAACCCGCACTGAAATAAAACAGAGATCTGATATACTATTAATGAAATATGCACGAGCATGTTTCTCTCCAACATCGTCTGCAAAATGAATAGCGCGATTTTTTTCAGTGCGGGATATGTCAAAGCCAAGGTCGTTTATGACGATGTGGCACAACAAAAAGCTTATTTCTATCATGTGGTTTGTGTGTCGCGAAAAGATTGGCGATGGACAGGCAGACAGTTGCCATCGATTGGGCGTGGTATTTGTGTACACATAAACATCGGAAGTAAGCGATACAAATTCTGAGCTGGGACTTTGGCTCAGAATAAAAAAATCACGATATTTTGAGCTTCTGAAGACGCTGGCTCACAAAGTACGGCTTCGATTTCTTTTATCTCTGACTCATTATGTAGCTAAATGTATAGGCTTGAAATGAATTCCTGTTAAGTTGTATTGTGGTATTTACAGCATTCGTTGTTGAATTCATCCTTGAACGAACTTCGTTAGTTGTTCTCGTCACATCCCTTTCGTTTTATATAATACTGCCATGGATTAACTGGAATACTGTTAAAAGCGGCGTTAAACATAACTCACTCACTCAGTCACTCACTCACTCATTTTTATATATAACTGACCATGGGTGATCTTGTAGATCTTGTAGCTTCTAACGTTTTGCGTTACACGCCCCGGTATGGTGAGCGTCAAGCGGGAGGAAGCCGCACGTGATGCAGGTCATAGACGTTTACCACATTGGGCGAAGCCCTTCAGTAGGTAGAATGGTAAGCTGAAGTAGGACGTAAATATAATCCATCTGTTATCGCAAATGTAGACTAGAAAGCTGAAAAACACTATCTTTGACGGATTCGGGTGAATACTTTATAACATATAAGGGATGAACCAATTAACATAGAAATTTTCACATTTTAAATCGATGAAGATTATCTGTTTGAAGGGATTATTATTGTCATTATTATTACTTTAGTCTAATAGTTGATACACGGTTGAACTTGTAAAGTGATCTGATGTTTCCACGACAGCTTTAGACAGAACGGTTCAGACATTTTGTGATACCTTAGCTGTGGAGACCTCGGTCATTGTTGTAATGAAAGAGTTGCCTCAACAGTAAATGTTAGCTTCCAAATCGAGGATCAATAAGTCGCCAACGAATTTCATTATACATGTTTCTTACGCACTGGAATCACGTGACTTCACTTGGTGAAAGGAGCTCAAGGTTAAACGAGCTCTACCAATGGTTCTGTCTCACAGCACAAGCTCAACTGGCTATACAGACCTGAAATGATGTCAGGCGAGTTTGTTGTACCAGTCAGTACTCATTCACACTACTTAAGATACCACGAGTGTGGTTAATCAATCCTCGATATAAGCAACGTAATATGTTCTCCATTTCCCCCCGTGTTCTCGGTCCTCGGGTATTCTATGAATTGTTTGATAGGCATTTCCCAGAAGTTGACGGGTGACAAAGTAGACAAGTACATTATGGATAACGACTTCTTTACTGTACTGTAATAGCGACGTTTCGGTATAGATCCTTGTGTACCGTTGTCAAACAAGACTGACAACGGTATAAGGATCTGTACCGAAACGTCGCTAGTACAATACAATAAAGAAAAGTTGTTATCCGTAATGTGGTGTCTACTTTCTCGGGCATTCCAGTGGCCTAAGACTGGACAATTCGTTGTATAGAGTTGCGTCCATTAATCGTACTAGGATCCGGTGAACATGGCTTCGAATCCAAGATGATCTTTGATTTGTCAGCACCACACTCAAGCTCGCTGGTTTTACCAAGTCGGAGAACGTTTCGACACAAGGAATCACGTTGAGTTTTCCTCTCACACTGAACTGACGTTTTATAACTAAAATGTAAAACAAAATTAAACCCTTGTCACCTGCACACTATTCTAACATATCTTCCTCAGGAAGTGCAAAACCAGGCTGCCTGGATGTCCTTTGCCAGCATTGTGTGAAGGGCTTGTACGGTGATGACTGCAGTAAAGCATGCCCCGCTAACTGTGACTCCGGGTGTAGCAAGACGTCTGGAGAGTGTGACCATCAGTGCATCCGTGGCTACCATGGACCTTCCTGCAGCGCCCCCTGCACGACCACCTGCAAGGAAGGCTGCAATCAGACAGACGCCTCCTGTCTTGGCTGCCAGTGTGGCTGGCACGGGCGTCAGTGTCACATGTCCTGCAGCAACACCTGCCTAAACCACGTGTGCTATCAGGATACAGGGGAGTGTGCTGTCGCTGTCAAATATTCACTTACCAGTTTTCAGAAGTGTAAACGTATAAAAACAGGTTCTGTGGTCATTGGGAACTGTAGTGTTGGTTGTGAATCTGGATGGAGAGGCGCGAGGTGTGACCAGAAATGCCCATCAGAATGCTACTCCTGTAGCCAGTTCCCAAACGCCGAGCTGTGCACCTTCACCATAGATGTCACGAAAACTCGCACGCATGGATGTAGGTCATTAAAACTCTTGATAATTCTTCAATTTGTTTCTTTGACATAATAATGTATCAAAATCACAGAAATGTTCACAAGTCGACTATGGCAAGTGACTTTATTTCCGGCCAACTAAAACATTCATTAACAAATGCCCTGGCTCCAGTAGACATTTCGATAGCTCGTTTACATCCGATGAGACATGCATTACGGTATTAATTAAAGACGTTAAAGTAACAAGGATTAACAAAACATTCATATAAGCATTGTGTATTCGTTCTTTCCTTCTTTTTATTTCTTCCATCCGTCATCCATTTCAGACGCACCTGAAACATCGGATACATTTAAGATTCGCATCCTCTACGCCTTTCTGCTTGTGATTCCGCCGTTCCTTGTTGTAATGGTGGTGCAGATGATATGCTTAACGTAAGTACTTTGTCGGTCTGTTGTACACAACTGCTATGTGGAGAGTGTTTATATTTGTAGATGTGTATTCAATGAATACACATTCGTACATTGAAATGAAAATGGTATAAATATGTACATCTTACCACATATTTTACAACCCATCATTTCAAATCAAGAAAACTTGGGGCTTCATCTAAACTAATGTCATGAACATGTAGTGCATCTATTATGAATAATAGATAATTATATTTTGTTTCAGTTATTTGAAATACAGGATCAGATTTTGCAACCGAAAACAATATGAAGTGTGTGAAACAATTAACAGTGAGAAATTCGTCTGAATGCACATCTTCCTCAGCCTTGACATCAAGCGTGCCTTTGATGTAGCAGACGATGTAGAGGAAGATTCTCATGCATATATTATTTATAGTCAATCAGATCGCTGACTTTTTCCAGTGCGGGGTCATGGTCAAGGTCCACGACGAACGGGGCACGGCAATGGGCCGACCGTACGTAAACTCATTTTATCATCAGGTTTATGTGTCGTGAAAAGGATGACGATGGGCGGGCTGACAGGTGCCATTGATCCAGCGTGTTTGGACGCATGGTGTTTGTGTATACGAGCCAGCACCATTCGGTAAGTCGAAAAACCACGAGAGTTTGAGGAGCTTCTGAAGACGCTGGCTCCCAAAATACGGCTTCGGAAATAAAAAAATTCAGCTATGTTTCATTACGAAGCCAATAAAAGTATTGACAACGTTCCTGTTCCTCGAACAAACTAGATGAATTGACCTGGTTACATTACTTTCGTTTTGTGACCACGTATCTTGGAGCTCCTACTTTTTTGCGTTACAAGCCCCTTTGGATTTATTGGTGGAAATTAGCCTGCTGGCATTAACATTGCCAACGGAACCAAACTGAAATATTTTTTAACTGTTCCTACATTACCCATAGTTATGATGTGAAAACCAATGACTAAATACTGTTCATAGACTACCTAAGGCATTCCCGAAGCCAACCTGTTATTCTAACGACCTCACATATCTTTATGATCAATAACATGACATATCCGTTCACTCGACTCCTCACATATATTCATATTTCCTGTCTTCCATAACATAAGGAAATACCGCGACTCCATTGCTGCCAGGAATATGATCCTGGAAGCGGAATATGCCGAGGCACAAATATGAAACAGAAATGCGATTCATGAGTGAAGTTAATTGATTTAAATATACTTGCCACGATATCCGTTCGACTATCAGAACGTACACTGCAATGTTGTCTTGTATTTTCACGAAGTGTACTTTTGTGTACGATTGTCCATGGCAATGTTTACATCTGCAGCTTCTCCCCATATTTCTTTGTCGTTATCTTTTTTTTATATTGACCATATATAAATTGCAGAATAAAAAACGTCAACGACATTTGTGTTATTTTATACTGTTAATATATTGAGTGCAGTCTTTATCACGCCATGGCAGCCCAAAGTGATGAAGGTCTTACACGTTTACCACTTTGATGAATTCCGGGTATAGATAGTACTGACAAGCCAAGAAACATAATCATGGAGTGTCTGGGATTTGAACCCACGATCATAGGTGTCTAACACTACGCAACGGATTATGATGTCGTGTACTATCTTGAACCAATGGACCAAAAACCGATTCTGGAGAATTACCTAGGCTCGATTGCACAAAACAACCTCATAGTCTATTAGCGCTACAATTATTGTAAATCCTTAAGATCGCGATTTTAAGCTTCGGCTACAATATATTACCTCCATAAAGAAGATTACAAAAAAAATAAAATTAATAGATGAACATTTCAGAGAACAACATATTATTTTGCATTAAATTTGCAGAATGGTTATGCCGATATATTGAGTTTGTTGAACACCATTTTAAACATTGGCTTGATATATTTTACATACACTCTTGCAAAGTCATTAGCATCTTTATCACAGAGTCTGTAATCATAGTGAGTCCATATCATGCAAGTAGCAGCTAAAGTCAACATCACCGATATTGATCAACTCCATCCAGAGCTGATCCCGAATGTCACACGTACATTCACACTCAACAACTGCATGTGTCACTGGGTCACGATACATAAGCCACATTTGTGGCACAGTCCTATATCACACATGTCCTTTGCGGTGGCACACGTCTTTATCACAAAGTTAAGAGTTCAGTCTAAGAGTTGGGTCGTCTAAGGAGATCTGCCAGGCTGGATGGACATCATATAGTCGATGGATTCGACTAAACATCTGGAGTTCTGGATCAGCAGCAAGTCTCTGCCTCCAGGCAGAAACATGGTGAGATTTTAGAGCTTTACTCACGAATCGTTTCCATCTCTGTTCCCCATGAAGATACCATTCCGCAGGAACGACAGCAGAGGATCCATGAGATTGTATTTGGATAACAATCTGATGACGTCTGGAACAAATCCTGATGATGAGGTTGTCAGTTGGTGAATGTAACACATCAGTCTGGTCATGAACAGCGGGTGAGGCAGGAACTTCGGGTTCATGTTGATGATGCGCTCCAGGAAATACAACTTTCTTTGATCTATATGGTATTCAATGGGTAGAACACCAAGAAGACTCGAGCAGACATCAGTACGGGTCAGGCGCGGCAAGTCTTGAATAGATGTTATGACATATCTGAACGACCTCTCCAGCATCAGCAACTCTTCCTTTGATCGATCTGACCACAGTTCTGATCCATACAGAGTCTTTGGGAGGTACATATTATTTACCACAATCAAGTTGGTTATAGGATTCAGGAACCTAGGATGAAAACCTCGTGAAATCAGCGTTCTTACTCCAAACCACAGGTTGACTGAAGTTTGAGTAACATGTTCAAGGGATGACATGTTGCCAGAGAGTACCAAACCAACATGTCTGATGGTGTTCGTCCATGGAATGGGTTCACTGTACAGCTTCAGTTCAGATCTGTGTTGAGTCCCCTTGCGGCAAGGGAATGATACAATCTCACTTTTGGAAGATGACAATATGTATCGCCAGTCACAGCTGTAGTCCTCAGCTGTTTTTAACATTAATTTCAATGCTGACACTCTGGATGAAACAAGGGCTACATCATCGACTTGCGTCGGAGAACAGGTATTCAAATCCATAACCACAGCACCAAGTCTCGACTTCGATAGTTTCTGGAGGAGGGCGCCAATGTACAAGAGGTACAACTTCCCCGACAACACACCACCTTGTCTAATTCCCTGTCTCATGGATACGGGTCTAGACCACATTGAGTCCACACACACATGGCTAACCATCTCTGTGTACATGTTGTCAAGCACTAGCCGTAGAGACCCCTTGATTCCGAACTCGAATATCTTGTACTTAAGACCACCATGCCACCGTGTCAAATTCCTTACACGTATCTAAGAAGGCAACATGGACATCTTCATTGTGCTCATGATAGCGATGCAGGCTAAGATCATTGTAAGCTATGGAAACCTTCAACTGGTCCGAATCAACGAATCAAGTAGCTAATATTGTTGTAGTCCCTGATTCAGCTTGACAAGATGGTTGATTGATTGATTGATTGTTTAACGCTGCACTAAGCAATATTCTACCTATATGACGGCGGTCTGTAAATACTCGAGCCTGACCACCCGATCCCGTTAGTCGCCCCTACGACAGACAGAGTCGCCTTTTATGGCAAGCATGGGTTGCTGAAGGCCTAATTCTACCTCGGATCTTCACGGGTCACTTCTGAGGGGAAGAAATCACTGACACTTCCATCTCACTATACCGTCGTCAAACATACGGCGTAATCAAGTCGCAGTGTATGTTCGAATCAACAGAAATGACGCCAGGATAGAATAATCGTGAAATACACCACGCATCATTCTTCATTGTTCTTTCGTCCCGTGAAGATCCTGACAATTGCAAGACGGGATCTGTTTCACCTGTATAATCTCCTTTACTCTTGAAACAACTTTCATTTTGTTGAACCTCAAATCTAAACCTCAACAACACGAAGACACCATCACAGATTTCACGTCAGAAATATCGTTAAATTTCGACTACAAACCACATAACTATCGATTCGATAGCAAAACGTACCAGTTTCACCCGGCACGGTGCTGAGTGTGAAACAAATCAAGGGAATGATATTAAAACGTAAGGTGTCTGAAAGCTGGTAACTAATGGCCTTGATTATTGGATAACTCAAGGGCAGCTAATCCTTGTTAATACTCTAGATTGGAGTGGTTTCCCTTTGCACATACGAGTGGCGTACCTTGCCCAATGTATTTTTACTATTAATGTAAAATCGTTGAGCTCCACCTATATTTCGTTTGGGTCACATTCGAGTCAATGTTATTATCTCCCCAACAAAAACTCCGAGAAATGTGAAAAACTAAGGGGGGGGGGGGGGGAGCCAAGAAAAACGACAAAACAACACTATGGGAGTTCCAATCGAGATTTGGCTAGCACAAATGGGAAGATTCCAGCCTACAAAAGGACTGAAACAGGTAGGAAGAATTCCACCGTACAACCCCATGTCGGATTGGACGCTACGTATGGCGGTTGCCTACAGACTTCTGTTGTGTGGGACTGTATTATTGAGTGTGGTAGGTTTAGGATCTGCTCCAGCAACATGGATACAAGACATATCGCCCACGCTGATCCCTCCTCCTGCACTATGTTCGCAATGTTTACAGAGGAATATTTTTTTCAACGACAAGTACATTGTTTAAATACCGAAAACAGGACATATGTAATGTAGATACTCTCCCTGGTAATACATTCGTACCATCAATGATACATAGATCAGTACACGTAGAACTAAACACAGGGCCAACAAGTGACGAATTAAACGAATTAAAAACAGCGATTATCGACCAGAATAAGAATACGGAGGATACACTTTCCAAAGATATCAGATCTAAAGAGGACATACAATCCACGAAGGCCGATATCAATGAGTTGAGGTCAGAGGTGAACTCAAACAAAGATGTACAAGAGATAATGAGAATTGACATTGACGCACTACGTGAAAGGGCAGAGGAAGCAGAGAGTTACTATCGGGGCCTAGAAGCTCGATTAGAAGATCAGGAAAGGAGAAGTAGGCGAAACAACATTGTTTTATGCGGTATTCCGGAGAAACAAGATGGAAATTACACTGAAAGCAAAGACAAGGTACAAGTCCTGAGCAGTGTTACACTACATAAAAGTCTACAACCACCAGAATCTCTACTAAGAGGTGAGGTGTGGTGAAATTGGGTTTAACGTCGCGTCCAAGAGTATTACACTTATATAGCGACGTGCATGCATGTGTCATAGTCCTAAAATCACTATAATTAACCCATAATTATAGTGGTCATATTTCAATAATATGTTTTGTATTTTTCTCAATATTCTATCTTACAACTAGCTAAACCTACATATATTTCTGTAGATAATGTTAGTCAGTTGCCATGCACGTAACTGACCGTCACAAACCAGTGACTCTGGATTACATAACTCAGCCAGGTGGCCAGGCTAGGGTCTAATAGCAGATTTAGATCGTAGTTTCAATATTAGGTAACTAACGCATTCTATAGAAGGCCTGAGTCCCTATATATACGGAGTCCAGTGGCAGATACTTCTCTCTGCCACGAATAAAGACTAAAAGGGACTCAACAGCCTTCTCTCTGTTTTTAAGGTAAGATAACATAATTTTCTTGTTAAATTCTCCTTGCCTTTAACTTATATGATATCCTGTGCAAGCCACTATCTATTTACCATGGTTTGTAATATTTAAGAATAAGTTATATGTTGTATGTGTGTGTGTTTTTATAGATATTAGTAGATTAGTTCACTTGTATATTAACTGTTGATATGCCAAGTGATAGATAAAGCCGTACATTACATAGCATGAGAAAGAGTACATTGTGGTAAATACCCGCGGGTAATCTCACGTAAATACCGTCTCATGCGAATATTGACCATGCTACGTCTATCTTTGGTTAAGCATTTACGGCATTGAAATCATACAGTATGTTAAATACGTTTGTATGTAAATACACAAGTAACGCTAGAATGCCGTAAACGTAAATGTTAACAGTTCCTGTATGAAATGTCGTAGCTAGAATAACATGAAAAACCGCCCAGTCGCTTATTATTCACAATTCGTTTTTGTATCTTATTTATTAGAACAGTCCTGTTAAGAAAGTTCAAACCAGTCGCTATCAATTCAGGGTATGGTTGTCAATTATATATTTAATGTAACAAGTCATTGACTGCATCTATATTGTAATGTAATATTGTTTAAATATCTCTCTGTATATGAAATTTCACTCTGCCACGAATAAAGACGTAAAGGGACTCAGCAGCCTTCTCTCTGTTTTTAAGGTGATAGCCGAGTAATCAGCTCTACCAAGTTAATTCCCCCACTATCTTGGTCATTGTGACGTAGCA